GCCGGTCGGGCAGGCGGGCACGCGAGCCACATTGTGCTTCCGTTTCCTTTTAGCCCCCGTTTACCGGTGTATACTAAACGTGTCATTTTGGGTCTCACCAGACACTTTATTGATAACTGCCGTGACACATGACTGACTACACTTTTGCAATGTTGTTTGCAGCATTTTTTGCATGTGGTATAACAAGTTCAATACCACGTTGAAAAAGCGGTACCGCTTTTCTGAATAAACTCCGAAAAATACCTCCTAAGCCGCCGTCCATACATATAGGCACTGCCATGAAAACCGGGCAAACCATATCCGGCCTGTGTCTTATAATGTACTGTAAATGTGTGGTTCGCCATAGATTTTAATGGCCACCATGTTTGTTTGGCGCTAGTAGTAAACACTACGACGGGGACGAAAGGCGAGCTTAAAGATAGACTTGCCATATTTGAATGAGACTTCTATTTTGGTCGTTCTTTTGTCTCTATTAATGGTATCAAAATCCTGTAAGTAATCTGGTTTAATCTCTTGATGTATCTAAGTTAATCTCTGTAACCTGTAATTTCAAAGTAGTAGCGGCAATTAATTATCACCCACACGCTGATGCTCTATGTACACAAACATATAAAAACTGCTCATACTGCTCTTTATATCTGCACAAATAGTTCCTGAAATAGTTCTATCAAAATGATTATGTCAATTCCAAGTATATGTGTCAATTTGTCGCTGGCTATAAATGTATCACGACCAACAAAATGTACATAGCGCTCCAAAGGGTCATATTCCAGTTTAATATCCACCGGCAGATCATTTTTCGCGGCAAAAATCTTGTTAATATTCCTAACCAGCTTCTGAACACCATCATAATATCCCGCTTTTACGTTCAGCTGTTTTAGGGGTCCACCGGCTAAGCCAACATATATGATCCCTTCATTGGTTTCAAAAGTGTTCCATGTATGGGGATATTGTATCTCTGTCATCACCACTTCCCATTCACCTTTCAAAACAATTGGTTTGGACAGTTTGGTTGTGTAAACGGATATTTCATTTTGGGGGTAGGTTAAATACGATGCGTTGCTTGGTAGAGTGACATAAAATGGGGCGTCCTCCATATTGGCTTTTAGAGGGTCGTTAGCTGTTTTTCTTCAATCCAACTATTGAATGTTTCTGGGTATCCCACCCACTGGGCGTAGTAAAATCTTTTTCCCTTTTGAGTTTTTTGTTTTAGTATTTTTTTAATTCTATACACCCGGTTGTGGTCTTTGGGTATTTTTTGTATTTCTTTTTGTATTTCTTCAGCGTGATATGACCCTTCAATCATATCACCGTTACAGTCTTTAAAGTGATATACCGGTTTCCTACCTTTGGTATTCACACCGGCAGGGGTGTACCTAGAGCATTTGGCACCCAGGGCGGATCCTGTGCTTGGCACCCCCTTTCCCCACCCCCAAAACCCCCACCCTCAGCGCCAGTTTGGCCCCGCCTCTGATTTTGCTTAGCTCCGCCCCACTTTTCCTCCGTGCGGCCAGTTTATCAGCTGTTTGCTTGTGTGAGCTGTACTGTACTAACTACCATGGGGCACTGTGCGGCCTCAGCTCACACAGCCCCCTCCAGCCAGTGCCGGTGCAAGGATTTTTGCCGCTCTAGGCAAAAGTAAAGTTTGCCGCCCCCCCATGTGACATCACAATGCCCCACCCATATGATTTGCCATGTTATCTAATGCCAGTGCTGCAGTGCCGCCGTGTTTACATAAAAAGGGCTGCAGGGACAGGCTATAGACACCAGAACCACTACATTAAGTTGCAGTGATTCTGGGGACTATAGTATTTCTTTAATGTGAGGTAAATTAGAGATTAGTGCCACGAATAATATACTATATTGCCTACTTACAACCAGATGAGGATGATGATGGGCTCTAGCTGCAGTCTGGCTCCACTGGTCTGGTGTAGAACAGGCTCTCTGGAGGCGGTTTGTAACTGTGGTCACAAAAGTCAATGTTCTGGGAGAACGGGAAGCAGCTCCATTTTTTGGGGGCCCTTTACACAGCTCAAGGTCAATAAAGTGGACAATAAAGTGTGTTTCGAAGGTGGAACGCAAAATGCAGATCGAAACCGGAAGCACATCATTAGAATGAGGACAGCGGAGAGACACGTCATAGGAAGAAGACGGAAGTCACCCGCGGCTGCTACAGGAGATCCGGATCAACAATCAAAGGGGAGCCATATAAGACGGACGCCAAGACAAGAAGTTTATGCAACCGAGGAAGCCTATTTAGGCGAAACGTGTTTTGCAAGTATTTGATTTTACCAGAGACTTAGCAGTATAAACTGCCTGTTATTTTATATTTATGTTCCAATAAATTAGATTTTTATCACCATTCTATGCCCTGGGACGCTATTGAGTGGAAGATCTTTGGCATATCACCTTATTCTGCTCAGCTAGGCAGTGGGATCCCTCCTAATATTTCCAACAGACTGCACATTGAGCCTAATGTTATTGGCTCTGTATTTGTGAGTAAAATACCTACTGATTATTACATATGCACATGCACGAGACTATATTGCACTAGGTTGTGTCTTTCTTTATATATTTTCAGCTGTCTGTGATACCTGAATTCAAGGTCCACCTTGCACTCCAACTGATTTGTATGTATGTAGTGTGTGCATCATGTTCACAAACATTTCCTCTCCACCAGTCCATAGAAGAAGGACGTCATCTATAAAGCGAAGGTATTGTAATAAATATTCTCCATAAGGCCCAAGTATCTGTTGTTGCTCAAATACAAACATGTATGCGTTTGCATACATAGGGGTCATAGGAGCCCACATTGAAGTTCCTGTCTGTTGTATATAGAATTTTGTTCCAAATCTCAAATAATTCAAAGTGGGACATAGCTTCAAAAGTTCCAGTATATACTCCAGAGGGGGATTCACCCACTCAGTAAAATTCTGTAGAACTTCCTTGATTGCTAGTATACAATCATTGTGTGGGATTATTGTGTATAAGCGAGACACATCAATCGTGGCTAGTAAAATCCCCTCTGCCGGTACTGTAATGTTGTTAAGACGTTCAATAACAGCTACACTGTCTTTGACCATTTACCGATGGGCTCCAATAAACCGCCAATTGCTGAGACTATTGGTCGTCCGGGGGGGTGAATGGGGTCCTTATGCACTTTTGGAAGTGGGGTGAGTTTCATGTAAGTACTCAAATTCTTGTTGTGTTATATAGTGTTTTTCTACCCCTCTCTGTAATGTTGAAAAAATATTTTTTTACAAATTCCACAGTTGGATCTATTTCAGAGCATTTGTACACTTTATCATCTGAAAGTTGTCTTAAAATCTAATTTCTATAGTCTTGATACTGCATCAAGACAATAGCCCCACCTTTGTCTGTTGGAAGAATAGTGATGGTACTATCTGCAGTCAAGTTGTTAAGGGCATCCCTTTCAATTTTGGACATATTGGCACCTTTTTGGTCTTATTAAGGTAACGTCTGCTTTCACCTCTGTGAGATGTATATAATTTTTTTTAATTATTTGTATTTATATATAGGTATATATATATATATATATATATATATATAGTGATATATACGTATATACTTAAGTATACTTAGGTATACGTATACGTATATACTTATACGTATATACTTAGGTCCAACTCTCTGCTAGACCCGCTTCAGTCTGGTTTCCGTGCTAAGCACTCTGTGGAAACGGCACTGACAAAAGTATCCAATGATCTACTCGCTGCAAAATCT